CAGCAAACTGACAGATTTCATATATGTACTTCCCATTATATCAAGCAGATAAAGTTGAATTAACATCTTACTGCAGTACCATAAATCCTGCTAAGACAGAATCCGAATAGCCTGTCAATGAGCTCAGTTCTAAATAGCTAATTTGATGCTGTAAAATCCATTAGCATGATGTTCTTTAATCCAGGCCTGATATTGGGGATCATAAAATGCCTGTCTGGTATGTGATTCCACAATATGAGCAGCTGAGAGTTAAATTTATTTCAGGTACTTATATAGCGCAATTTACGCAGCGCTTTACATATATATATATATATATTGTACATCACATCAGTCCCTAACCCTCAAGGGGTGTACAATCTAAGGTCCCTAACTTACATTCATACATACACATACTAGGGACAAATTAGACAGGATCCAATTAACCTACCAGCATGTCTTTGGAGTGTGGGAGGAAACCACAGTACCCGGAGGAAACCCACACAGGCGCAGTGAGAACATGCAAACTCCAGGCAGGTGGTGCTATGGTTGGGAATCGAACCAACAACCCTAGTACTGTCAGGCAGAAGTGCTAACCATTTAGTCACTGTGTTGCCCCTAACACTAAACAATGTCTCTACTTTCGGAAAACTATCCATACATATTCACTACTTAATAGCCCTGTAAACTAATTTTCACAAACTGCTTCTTGCTGTGTTTTGTCTGCCTTCATTTAACATCCTTTGTGAGTTCCTGAAACTGTCCCTTTCCCCCTCACTTCCATTTGTTTGGAATAAGAAGTGCACAGTCATATGCATTACCCTATGCTCACTACAAATCCCATGAAAAAATGCACACAGCACATCTCACTATAATGTGTGCTCACCCAAATCCAAAGCACTGAGTTTGGTTCCTCTCTGATCTCTCTGTTATCACTCCTAATAGATTAGGCTTACACTTAGGCCCCGTTCCATCTCGCCCCACCTGTCCCCCTTCAGCACACAGCAGATAACTCCTACCCTCAGCTTTATGTTTCTCTGAGCCCGTGAAGAGGGGTGTGTCACATTCCTCCAATCAGTTTGCAGATTCACTGATCTCTGTGCTCTAACTCTGCAGTGTCTGGTCCCCACACCCTGCTTTCTGCAACTGAGAAAAATCCTTTCACCTGTGTATTTTACAAGTCAAATGGCTGCAGATGAACTGGTACAGCTTATGTAGGAGGATTTGTTTTATCTCTAAAGGGTTTTTTTTTGTGTATCACCCGAGGTGAGTCACTTCACTGGGTATATGCAAGGGTTTACAACCACTCTACAGCTATATTTATTTATTTAATATTTATTTCAGGTACTTAAATAGCGCCATCAATTTACCCAGCACTTTACACATATATATTGTACATTCACATCAGTCCCTAACCCTCAAGGGGTGTACAATCTAAGGTCCCTAACTTACATTTATATATACACATATTAGGGCCAATTTAGACAGGATCCAATTAACCTACCAGCATGTCTTTGGAGTGTGGGAGGAAACTGGAGTACCAGGAGGAAACCCACGCAGGCACAGGGAGAACATGCAAACTCCAGGCAGGTGGTGCCGTGGCTGGGATTCAAACCAAGGACTCTATATTTGAGCTAAGTAGGGTGGCACAGTGGCTTAGTGGTTAGCACTTCCACCTGGCAGTACTAGGGTACACTCCAAAAACATGCAGGTAGGTTAATTGGATGCTGTTTAAATTGTCCATAAGCATGTGTATGTATGAATGTGAGTTAGGGACCTTAGATTGTACACCCTTTGAGCGTTAGGGACTGATGTGAATGTACAATATATATATATATACAGTCATGGCCGAAATTGTTGGCACCCTTGATATTTTTCCTGAAAATCAAGTATTTCACACAAAAAAGGTATTGCATTAACACATGTTTTGCTATACACATGTTTATTCCCTTTGTATGTATTGGAACAAATATAAAACAGAGGCAGAAAAGCAAATATGACATAATGTCACACAAAACCCCAAAAATGGGCTGGACAAAAGTATTGGCACCCTTAACTTAATATTTGGTTGCACACCCTTTGGAAAACATAACTGAAATCAGTCGCTTCCTATAACCATCAATAAGCTTCTGACACCTCTCACCCGGAATTTTGGACCACTCTTCCTTTGCAAACAGCTCCAGGTCTCTCTTATTGGAAGGACACCTTTTCCCAACAGCAATTTTAAGATCTCTCCACAGGTGTTCAATGGGATTTAGATCTGGGCTCATTGCTGGCCACTTCAGAACTCTCCAGCGCTTCTTTGCCATCCATTTCTGAGTGCTTTTTGACGTATGTTTGGGGTCATTGTCCTGCTGGAAGACCCAGGATCTTGGACGCAAACCCAGCTTTCTGACACTGGGCCCTACAGTGCGACCCAAAATCCTTTGGTAATCCTCAGATTTCATGATGCCTTGCACACAGTCAAGGCACCCAGTGCCAGAGGCAGCAAAACAACCCCAAAACATCATTGAACCTCCACCATATTTTACCGTAGGTACTGTGTTTTGTTCTTTGTAGGCCTCATTCCGTTTTCGGTAAACAGTAGAATGATGTGCTTTACCGAAAAGCTCTATCTTTGGTCTCATCTGTCCACAAGACGTTTTTCCCAAGGCTTTTGGCTTACTCAAGTACATTTTGGCAAACTGTAGTCTTGCTTTTTTATGTCTCTGTGTCAGCAGTGGGGTCCTCCTGGGTCTCCTGCCATAGCGTTTCATTTCATTTAAATGTCGACGGATAGTTCGCGCTGACACTGATGCTCCCTGAGCCTGCAGGACAGCTTGAATGTCTTTGGAACATGTTTGGGGCTGCTTATCCACCATCCGGACTATTCTGCGTTGCAATCTTTCATCAATTTTCCTCATCCGTCCACGACCAGGGAGATTAGCTACAGTGCCATGGGTTGCAAACTTCTTGATAATGTTGCGCACTGTGGACAAAGGCAAATCTAGTTCTCTGGAGATGGACTTGTAACCTTGAGATTGTTGATATTTTGCCACAATTTTGGTTCTCAGGTCCTCAGACAGTTCTCGTCTCCTCTTTCTGTTGTCCATGCTTAGTGTGGCACAGACAGACACACAATGCAAAGGTTAAGTGAACGTCTCTCCTTTTTATCTGCTTTCAGGTGTGATTTCTATATTGCCCACACCTGTTACTTGCCCCAGGTGAGTTTACAGGAGCATCACATGCTTGTAACATTCTTATTTATCCGCAGTTGTGAAAGGGTGCCAATACTTTTGTCCAGCCCATTTTTGGAGGTTTGTGTGACATTATGTCGAATTTGCTTTCTTTTTCCTCCCTTTTTTTGTTTTGTCCCAATACACACAAAGGGAATAAACATGTGTATAGCAAAACATGTGTTAATGCAATACGTTTCGTGAGAAATACATGATTTCCTGGAGAAATATCAAGGGTGCCAACAATTTCGGCCATGACTGTATATATATATATATATATATATATATATATATATATATATATATATATATATATGTGTAAAGCGCTGCGTAAATTGACGGCGCTATATAAGTACCTGAAATAAATAAATAAATAAGTCAACAAGAAGTTCTTTCAGAAATGTATAAGAGAATGCCAGTCAGTTCATGACCAAATATGACTACATTACAATGTACAGAAGACTAAAGGGTCACATTGAATGTCATAGAAACATTTGCATTTGATGTATCTGTTTAGTTTCTTTCAAATGCTTACTTAATTCTATTCAACAAGACGTTGGTTGTCAAATTGTAAAACTGCAACACCTAGAAATATTGATATAATTAGATATCTTGAGAAACCCCATTTACAGTGGGTCTGATGAAGTATGATCAAACACTTCAATCCCCCAATCTCCCACATCTAAGACCCTTTAACACACTCTGGAGAGTCAACACAAACTGTCCCTTCTGCAGCTCAGATTGAAGCTATGCACAAATTCTGAATTCCTGAACACTAAACACTTTCACCCCTTTCCTACCCAGGCCAATTTTAAGCTTTCAGCTTACAGGCAGAGCTTTCTTTCTTTTGGTGATATTTAAGCACCACTGTGTTTTTTATTTTTTGCTAAATAAACCAAAGAACAAACATTTGGAAAAAAATGCATTTTTCTTTTGTGTTTTTAATATTTTGCAAAAAATACATGTAGATCCATATATAGAGTCCATAAACTCTGGTAAATATTGTATATACTTGAAAATTGATCAAACATGATGTACTGATGGGCTATCTAATTTCTTAAGGCCCTAAAATGCCAGGAAAGTACAAATATCCTCATCCCCAAATTACTCCTTTTTTAGAAAGTAGACAGTCCAAAGTATTTAGTAAGAGGCATGGTGAGCTTTTGAAATTGCAATTTTTTATGATAATTTATAAAAAATTAAGAAATTAAAAAAATGTGTTTGTTCACAATTTTTTTTTAACATAACATATTGTGAGAAGCAAAGCTTGGCATGTTCACCCTAGGAACTGGATGACCTTGTCCCCGCACTGCTCAAAGCTGACCAGAGATACCACCAGATAAGCAACCAAATGTGTCCATGTTCTAGCCGAAACTTAAAGGTTAAGTCATCTTTTTTTTTTTTTTTTTTTTCTAAATTCCAGCTCCCCTATGATGTACCAATGTACCATTAACCTCCCTGGCGGTCTGATTATGTCAATATTTCTGTGCTCAAAGCGGTACATTGTTTCTAATGGAAAATTATTTTTCTTTTTTATTGTAGGCCTGTAATTCTTAGGAATAACTCACTGAAATCTATCCGAACAAGAGTCTAGTAAACATCCCGGGTATGATAAATTTTAAACACAAAATCATAAATTATAATAGAATAAATAATCATAAAAAAAATAATAATATAATAATAATAAATTTAATAATGTAATCAAACCAAAAATACTGAAATTTAAAATAAAGCGCCAAGTTCGCATATCACTGGGCTTAGTCGCAAAATCGTTTTCAGTGTCTGACGAATTTCCCCACAAATCATCACTCAATTCTACAAGTGGTTCTAATTTACTATCGCTGTTCTCTAGCTGTCTAAAACCGCTTTTGACCTAAAGGGACGCTTTTTGGACGCTATGGACGTTTCTCAGGTTCCAGGCAGAAAGAACAGTAAAAATGCAGGCAGGGCACAGGACAAAGCACTAGGGACAAAATGTATGTGAAATGCTTTGATACAGTAATGTAATACTATCAGATTTTAGGGTATTGAATGAATGTCAAATTTTTACATTTTTGAATTTCCCGCTGGTTCTGTCCCACGTACGTCCCGACACTCGCAGGGAACGGAACCCAGAAGACAGATGCCGGCAGCAGCTGGAGGACATGGCCGGGGACACTGCAGGGGGGACATCGTGGGAGCGGAGGACAAGGTAAGTGCTGGAGGGATCCCGGAGCAATGCTGCAGGGTAATCCTGAGTGTAGCTCACCCTTCATTCATCAACTATGCTTGCACAGCATTCCTGACATCGTTTCACGTGTGCATTTGCCTGGCTTCCCCAGCATCTCTCCGGACAGGCCAGGGCCACATGCTAAACTCTCTGGGGCCGCTTTCAGCCGGCAGGCTGGACACCCCTGATGTAGTGTAAGGGCCTTCCTGATTGGATAGATATGTGGGTTCTTCTATTCCATAGTTTTGGTAAGCTAAAGGACATTTTAGAGATTGTACAATCAAATTGTATAGGGTATGGCCACTTTTATACATGTACATAGGAGGACTTAGACACTCAGATGTCAGGCCCCATTTACATCTCTGTACGTGTTTTTTTGGGGGATGTTTTAGAGCTTCTCTGCTCATCGTGCATAGGGTAGTCAATTCGCTTGAATGGACTGTCCTACACATGACAAACACTCCAAAGAACTCCAGAACTCTTTTTTGAGTGGAGTATGTTTCTTTGGCTAGCTTAAGCACCTGCAGCACGTTTGTCGTGCAACGAAATGCATGGCAAACATGCGCCTGCTTACCACGCGTAGCGTGCCTATAACATTTGCATTTTCAGCACATTTCTGAACTTCACAGCAAAGCATGCATGTTTTGTTCAGAAACACACAGATGTGAATAGAGCCTTATTGTTCTTGTGTAAACACATCAATCTCACTTTCAGGCCCCGTTCATGCCTAACATAGTGGGACCATACATTTTTTGGCTTGTTTTTCCCACGACATGCATAGCACAGTTAATTGATTTATGAAGGCTGCCCTACATCCAGCAATATAGCTCATGACATTTTGGCACGTTGGGCTTTTTTTTTTTTTACTGTGTGCTGCGTTTTTAAGCAGCGACATGTGTTTGCTTTCGCGTTTCGGATGCTATTAACAATTAATGGCACTGAAAGTGCAAATAGTTCATTTTAGGTGTTTAAAGATGGCCATGTGTTATACAATCCTATTGTACAATATCCTTTTAGATCTACAATCAACTGTAGTGCAAGAGCCTGCCTGATTTTATACAGAGTGATTGGATAGATGTGTCCTCCTGTTCTATATTTTTGGTTAATCAAAAGGAGACAGTACAGAGATTGTACAATCAGATTGCATAGTGTATAGCCACCTTTATTTATACACCTAAAATTAACTAGTTGCACTTTCAGTGCCATTAATTGTTAACTGAAACACCAAACACAGAAACAACCACATTTTGACATATGAAAAAAGGGGTGACAAACAAAGCATAACGCACAGTAAAAAAAAAGTGCAGCTCGCACCACATCAAAATGTTCCATAAGCTGCTTTGCCACGTGCAGGGCAGCACATTGAAATCAACAGGCTTCCCTATGTGTATCACGGGAAAAATTAGCCAAAAAAGTGTGCTCCCACTACTCTAGATGTGCATGGGGTCTGATAGTGAAATTGGTGTGTTTACACAAAAACAATGAGGCTCCATTCACATCTGTGTGTTTCCAAAACGTATGGCAAACTGCACAGAAAATGCATGTGTTGCCGTATGTTTCAGAAACACTCTGTAAACCCACCAAAAATCACAGTTAAAAATGCACCACACTTCACTCTAAAAAAAAAGTTCAGGAGCTTTGTTGGGGAGATTGTTGCACATAGGGAAGCAAGTGAATTGGCTGCCCTATGCATGATGAGCAGAAAAACAAAAAGTTTGTGGGATTGTGAGTTACCACTATGTGAAGATGTGAACGCCTGACAGCTGAGCCCCCTCTCAATCCAGCGATGTGCACTAGAGTCTCGGCTATCCTGGGACTCCCTCTTCCCATTGGCTGAGACTGACCGCAATGGGAGCCAATGACTCCCGCTTCTATCACAGCCAATAAGCAAATGAGAAGAGAGAGGGGCTGAGGCACAGCTGCGAGTGTGAGTGGACACACGAAGCAGCGGGTGCCCCCACAGTAAGCTGCTTGCTGTGGGGGCACCCGACAGGAAGGAGGGGCCAAAAGCGCTTGGGGGGGACCCGAAAAGAGGAGGATCCAGGCAGCTCTGTGCAAAACCACAGCACACAACAGGCAAGTATAACATGTTAGTTATTTTTTTCTCTAAACAAATAAGCTTTTAGAATCACTTTAAATTTAAAGGAAATTTTTAAAAAGTGGGTGGAAGATGGTATAGTAATAAGGGAGGTATGGTACAGAGTGGTGAACACGCCCTACCACGCCCTCTTCTGTGATGCAACAAGGAAGTGAAGGCTTCTGGGAGATATCTACTGGGAGTCAATGCACAGGAAGTGATGGAATCTGAAAGCCATTTTAAAACTCCAAATAGACAAACAATATTTCAAAGCCTTTTATATATAAGGTAAGCGAGAGAAAACACATTGGGATGGCTGGGCCAGAAATTACATTAGAAAACACTTCTATTTATTATCAAAAGTGACTTTCTGCCTGAAAATGTGGCCCATACACACGATAAGAATATCGTACAAACATTTTCATACGAGGACCGCTTGTCCGATAATCTGATCGCTAGTACACAGCTTTCGAGAGCTGATCACGACAATTCATGCAAAAATATCTGAAGGGACAAGCGCGAAAATGTTTCTTGTACGATACCAGATTGTACGATTTTCGTTTAATCAGTACAGTAGTCGTCCAAAAATACACATATAATACAAAACATTACTTCAATTTACACATTTTTTTCTTTTGTACAAAATTTTTGTAAGTTTAGTGTCCTTTTAATTTTCAATATGGAAACTAGCATGCAAAAAAAATTATCATTTTTTCTGAGATTCTTGTCATATGTACGGGGCATTTTAGCCTTTAAACTATAATTTTTAAATAACTAAATTACATAGATTACATTTTTTTAGCATCCTATGAGCGGAAATCTATTCAGTTGCATGTGGTATATTTAGAAACATTTAAACTGAATACTAACAGCACAGTATGTACTAAACCTTTGCGGTTGTATTTTATACAAAACTGAATCCCTTGCACTCTATTTGGTATAATTGGTACTACAATGCGGCAAGTAGTTTTTGTTGGTTTCTCTGTAGTTAGAGTTACAATGCCTTAAAACAGTGAGCAGAACACAAAAGCCAGTGAAAGGAACCAGGAATGTTCTATCTTGCTCTAGCAGTAAGCAGTTCTGAAAAACATTTTCAGAATTTCCTTTGGACACAATGAAGTGGCCATTTGAGAGCAAGTGAAGCATGAAACAGGCATAAAGTGTAGAAACAATTGCAACCCACAAATATTTACACATCCAAAGAATTCTATACAATTGCTGATAAAAAAAGAAAGCAATCCTTCAATTGGTAAAAGTCCTGGGGAATGAGTGAACATAATAAATTCCTATTTCTTGGCTTCATTGAAGATTAGGCTGCTTTGCTTTGACCCTATACTACAAGAAGCTGAAAAATGAAGAAACTGCTTGACACTTGGATCGCATCATTAGCAACCAAATAATTTCACATTTCTAGGACAATAAACTGTTTTATCACTGTTCAAGCAGGTCACAGAATGCTTCCCAGCTTACTGAGTTATGAAAGGAAAGAGAGTGTATAATGGCCAGTAAAGCTGGCATAATAGCTAAGATAGTTTATAACTAAATTTAAATAGACCTTAAATCTACACTCACCGACCACTTTATTAGGTACACTTTGCTAGTGCCAAGAAAATATCCCTCATACTATTACACCACCACTGATACAAGGCAGGATGGATTCATGCTTTCATGTTGTTTATGCCAAATTCTGACCCTACCATCTGAATGTCACAGTAACCAGTCTGCCAATTGTCCTCTGACATCAACAAGGCATTTTCATCCACGCAACTGCTGCTCACTGGATATTTGCTCTTTTTCAGACCATTCTCTGTAAACCCTAGAGATGGTTGTGTGTGAAAATCCCAATAGATCAGCAGTTTTTGAAATCCTCAGACCAGCCCGTCTGGCACCAACAACCATGCCACGTTCAAAGTCACTTAAATCTCCTTTTTTCCCTATTCTGATGCTCGGTTTGTACTTCAGCAAGTCGTCCTTACCACATCTAGATGCCTAAATGCATTGAGTTGCTGCCGTGTGATTGTCTGATTAACAATTTGTGTTACCCAGCAATTGAACAGGTGTACCTCATAAAGTGGCCGATAAGAGTATTTCATTAGAAGCAGTTGCAAACAAGCTGGCTCATAAACAGGTTAGCAGTTTAGATATGTTGAAATTTGTACCTGATTTTTTTTATATGTTTGCCTACCCACATCCAAGATTACAGCTCTGGCTTGGTGGGACTCAGCCATGGGTCTTTATGACATTCAGAGACTGATAGTGGGATATATTTGTATCAGTTGCCAGGTCTACTCACCTGCAGTGGCTACTACAAATCTTAATTTTTATTTTATTAAATATAACACTATGGCGAAGGCAGCTGGTGGTAGAAATGCAGAGTTGGGTACTGTGACTGGAAATGTTCTTTCCACTGAACTTTTCTGAATTGTTATTAATATTACTTAAGTAGAGAGTGATCAGAGAAAACTGAATATCCATGTTTTCTTACAATCCTTCTTCCCCTGGACCTTTGCCCTCATTATTCTTATCTGGCTTTACTGAATTCAGCTAGATGTTATTCCATATTAAGGCAAATGAAAAACAGTAGAAACAGCAAGGGAGGCTACTCATGAGTGGAATGTAAGGGTGGCGGATGTATAAAGCAGATCTTGCATGCAAATCAAAGAAATATATTTGGATGGAACACTAAGAACTAGGGAACACTTATTATCCATAATCAGTTTAGGTTCTTCACCTGACCAAGGTTTACAAAAAAGGTGGAAGAGAACCATATATGTGTCTGAAGTGTTACATCATTTACAATCACAACACCATCCAATTAGTTAATTTACAATTCCAACTCTAGCTGGACATCTTTTACAAGATTGCTATAGCTAAACATGAGCAGG